ACCAAGAACTAACCACGACTTTTAGGAAAATAAGGGTTTTTCCTAGGATAACGAATCGTTCCTAACCAAAATGTAGAATAAACGAATAACTAAACTTACAAATAAGAAAATATGGGATTTTCTTGGATTACGAACTGTTCCTAATTTCATAATGTAATAAACGGATAACCAAACTTAACTTGACCGTGGAACGAATGGAAAACTAAACTTTACTTATTAGAAAATATGGGATTTTCTTGGAAACGACTTTTTCAAAAAACCAAAGGAAACCTGTTCTTTTACAAAAATTAACTGCTTATGAACTCAGCAGCTTTATGCTGATTTTCAAACTGCTCGGATTCTCAGGTCCGCATTAGACAGGTACACAATGATCTTTTGGAGAAGACGGAGCATATAGAAGACTCGTCTTAACTTTATGTTCATATGATATATATATATATGTATAACTTTTGTAACACTTTGTTTTCAAACAATGTAAACATTTCTATGTAATGTAGTGGTTGTGTTTACTACGCTTACTATGTACATTGGTTGCGATACAACATGACATCCTCGGCCCCGGAACGTTTCCGCCATTGGTTTCGGGGTGTGGCAGTCTTGATTCATATCTACTTCCAACATATCATCGACTATGGATGGTTTGAATAACTTAGTCATTCGGGAATTTATTCTGGATGTCAAAACATGCAAAATGAAACACAAGAATAATTGAATCCAATATGGTATCAAAACCTATGAGTATAAATAGAACACTTTTTATTTATCACCATATTGATAACTCATTATTAATTGTTTTAGTTTTATCAAATTTATACTTGAATTAAAAACACTAGTTGTTCCATGCCCCAAGCATGTACAATATGTTTTTCTAAACAATAGCTTTGCCATACACCAAGTATGCACTCTATCTTTGTCTATGATCTTTACTTTGTGAAATAAACCAATTGAACAGAGTTTCAATGATTCTAATTTCACACTTCCAAATACTTATCGTAAATGTAAGAATTCCAATTTTTTCATTTATCAAAATCTGTTAGATTTTAAACTTATATGCACTGCCCACTTGTAATCAATATGAACAAAGTCACAAGGACTTGTCAACATTCATTAGAGGGTATTCAAATGAAGATCTACTCCTTGCTCCTTGCATTAAGTTTTTCTAATCTTACAAAGAGTGCTTCAATCTATGGAGACAACTTCGTATTCCCATTTTGACTATAATTTCTGAACAAGAGTTGCTTCTATTCAGAATATGTCAATATGCTCCTTCCAAAGTTAACACTCTACTTCCAACTTTCCCTAAGCAACCAAACTTTGGTAAACCTTAGATTGTCCTCGACAATTGCTTAATCATTTTGCTCATATCCAACTCAAGACCTTTTCCCCTTTTTAATGCCCCAGGTATTTGGAAAATTTTAGAAATGATAAATATTAGAGCACATGGAATCTATCCTATACGCAAAGCAAATAGGACACGATTCATGATGTCTCACATAAAGACATGACTCTAGACCAGTATTTTGCTACAATATTTTTTATTTGCGATGTTTTCAAGATTTGACTATAAAGAGGGATGTCGTAATCATAACCAATTTTTATAATGTAATATATAGAATTTTCTTAAGTTGAACCAAACCAACATAAAATTTATATATATATATATATATATATATATATATATATATATATATATATAAAAGGCTTAGGTTGAGATTTTAATCATCTTTAGTCAAGAATATATATATATATATATATATATATATATATATATATATATATATATATATATATATATATATTCTTGACTAAAGATGATTAAAATCTCAACCTAAGCCTTTTAGAATTGAAATGAAGTATAATTTCCTCTCCCTTAGTTATAGCAAAACTACTTTTTCAACCACTATAACTTCATTATTTGAAACTTTTGTTTTCTATAATTAACATTGCTATCTTGTAATAATAATAATAATAATCATGCTCCCACTGACATGATGATTATTAGCATAACAGTTATGCTCCCACTAGCTTTGACATGTACTCAGAAATCAGCTGAACTTCTAGAAATCAATACTTTATTTACTTTCTTACCAAACTTCAGATTTCTGATATGAGATGTTTTGATAATATTTTATCAAAATCACACACCTTTCCTTAGATAGTTCACATGTGTGTCTAAACAATTTTAGAACTATGAAAAAGGGTGTCGTAATCATAGTCTCAATTGTCTAGACCTTTTCCATTTCTCACAAGTCCATGTTAGTGTACCGGTTAACCACACATGATCCACTAACGACTTTAAGAATGCAAATATCATAATTGTTATCTACTTAAAATCTACTTAGTGAAATTGTTATCTACTTAAAATCTACTTAGTGAAAGTGTTTCATGAATCAGAGAAAAATCTTATGGCACTTAGATTTTATGGTGTATGTGTTCTTATCTATGTGAATATGTCAAAACCATAAACACTAGACAAGGATAATCACAAATCCAAACTTATATGGATTGAACTTAATCTTAATTTATTGCCACCTGGCAGCACAATGGCTTGCCATTGTTTCCAAGTTGTTATGCAACCAATTGAGAACTTTTCATAACTTATATGCAAAGCCAATTTTAACTAGAATGGGCGTACAAATATGTCAACACGATAGGTTACAACATCAAGTCGGGTGCTTGTGATAAACTACAAGTTTTTATTCTTGATTAGTTCTTGAAAAATATTTCAAGACCTTTAAGACTCCTACTGTCCTCTTGACATATAAGACTCACTTGTCAAATATTTAAGAGATAGTGTGGATTCTTTATCAAGACAAATACTTCACACAATTGGCCTTAGTTGGTCTTTGTTTTATCCAAAACATCACAACTTACCAATTTCAAATGTACAAGAGTAAAACATACTTTACTCTTACATTTGACTAGTCTTAATAAACCTTCTTTAAGATGTGTCACTCAAATTACAATCTTGGAGTATGACTCTAAGACTTGTTTTGAAAACGAAGTATGAATCATCTTTTTGATTTAACCATTTCAACAATTCATGATTCCTCTTCTTATCCATAGGAATGCACTAAGACATCCTTAGAAAACCAATTGTGATATGGTTTCTTAATCATTAAGATGATTACAAAACATGATACTAAATTACTCTCCCATCTTTTCAGATCTGAGAATCTTTTATCTTTCAGCCTAATTTGATTCTTCTCATTCGTTATGCCATACATCGAAACTTTTCCAATGCTTCAGAACTATACTTAAACTTGTAAGTATAACCATATTTACTAAATTTTAGTAAATCATGACGAATACTCTTATTGATCTTTGTGGTGCACTTGACCAGTGCACAAGAATGTGTACTCGATCCCTTAGTCCTTTACTTGACTGACATATACATGTGAACAACGAATCAGTCTTAATTTTCCAAAGATGGAAATTCTCATTCATCATACAACCTGTATGATTCAAAGTTCCGGTCCAATTGAACCTTGGGTGATGAGACTCTTTCCTTACTTGCTAAATTTAGACACTACCAGAAATGAAAGAATCAAATTCATATTTCCAATATTGCTAGAAACATACAAACATCAAGTTTTTATAAATTCCATTGCAAGGAGATATAAAATAAAGTAAAACTTTTATTTTTATATAAAAATGCAGGAAAAACTTTTCCTTACAATGCAACTTGAAATGAAAACACTGCTATTACATGCTTCCTAGCAATCTATCATAACTCCTAAGAAGTAGCTCAAGAATCCGATTTTCAAACCATGCGTGAAATCCATCTACGCAATCAGATTCAACATACTCTTTCTTTAAGTTTCCACTACTAGAAAAACAGCCTTTTACGACGCTCATTGCGCGTCGTAAAAGGCTCAGACGACGCGCAAATGCACGTCAAGGAAGGCCCTGTCATAAAGAGAGACGACGCGCATTTACGACGCTCATTTACGACGCGCAATTACGACGCGCGTTTATGACACGCAATGCGTATCAAGGAAGGCCCTGTCATAAAGGAAGATGACACGCATTTGCGTGTCGTAACCTTACGACACACGTGTTAATGACACGCAATGCGTATCAAGAAAGCCCCTGTCAAGAAAGGTCATGTCATAAATGAAGATGACACACATTTTTGCGTATCATAATTTAAATGTTTAAAAAATATATTATTTATAGATTTACTAATTTTCAAATTAATAATAAATTAAAAATCTCATAATACAAAATAAAATACCATAAATAACAAAGATAATTCATTTGACTAATATGTCAAATACAAATAATTATTCCAAAAGTGAATAAATCTTATAAAAAAATGAACTCATTTATATACAATTGAACTTAAATTCACTTGTTCCATGTAAATGTTGACTTAAGTTTCCATTTTCAATGAACTCATACACCAAAAAAAAAGGGAGCCCTCCACACAATATCGTATTAAACGCACCTGCAAATATAAAGTCAAATGTTAAATAAATATGGCCAACTCAAAATCTTGATAAATATATTTATCAATTGAAATACCGCATACTAGGTTTAGATGATGAACATGTGTTAACAGATAAAATAATATAATTATGTCTAAAACTAATATTCCAAACCTCGCCTATGAGTTCTGCATAAATAAGTGGCAACAGTTATGGAAGAAGGCCCTTGATGAGATTTGGCTTGTTGTGGCCAGCTATACTCAAAGCGAAAACAGCTGCACGCCTAACATGCTGCCCATGTTTATCAAAATTTAACAGATCATGCTAATAACTCATACATATAGAATTATAAGAAAAAAAAAGAGTAGGGTTTTCCCCAATCCGTTAAATTAGACAAAACAAAATGTTTTCTTTCCATTCCAATGGAATGAAGAATTCCATTCCTTCCCTGATTCCAGCATATATAGAGATACTTACCCTGATCAATTAATTTAATCAAATATGCATAAAAATACCAATCAACCCACCAACACTTTTGTTAAATCAACACAATAACACTATTATTAAAAACTATGACTCAAATTTTGTAAAGGAGCTGTGTTTTAAATATTGAGCATGTGAAAGGAACCAACGCTTCATGTGATTTAAGTTTGAAGCAACTCCATTATTCTCTGATGAGGAAGCATCCAGTTCTTCTGTCACCTCCATTTTATCACCTGAGATACTTGCTGCAAAAAACTGTACATTTTTTGTCATTTTTAAAACAATATTCAAATAATTTTCTGTCATGTTTTCACAAACATCATTTATCTAGATAGCACTTTATCAGTGTATCACTTAATGAGGAAAAAAAGCAATTTGAGAAGGGAATAGCAATATACGAAAAGGAAAAAAAATAATAATAAGAATAAGTATAAGAAACCTGCTCTAGAAATGAAATATGGAGGTAGCTCTCCTAATGCAGTTCCAAGGCCCCAAATAATAGCTTCTACTTGTACTTGAGGCAAAATGCTGCTGAGTGGAACCTGAACACCTTGAGAGGATAAAAAAACAATGGAGGCCCAAACTCTGAACAATCCTTTTGAAGCCATGTAGGGCTTCTATTTAACTTTATTGTATCATCAACAGCACTTTTAAGATCCACCCGACGACACTGCATTGCTTTTATTGTGAAGAAAGGAATGTGGGGACCCAGATATAGAACAAAAGTGTGTAGCCCAGACCCTGATCAATTAATTACAAATACAACTTAACAAAACTTCAAAAACTTTGGTTTCCAAAAAAGAACATAATAAATGAAAATGCAAGAATATAATTATCTAAAGGGAAAAATAAAGAACAACACTTGTACTTTCACCATTTTATTGATTTAGCCACTGAAGAAGTATTATTTTTTTATTAAATTAGCTATTGAGCTATTATTATAATAATAATAAATGATAATGGGGATAAAGTTGATTGAGCTCACCAAGACCAATGGAAGATGCAACACCAAGAGCTACCCACCACAGTCCAAACCTTGCATATTCAAGAAGCTCTTCAACATGCTACAAGAACACATGTATCACATATTCATCATTATATATTAATATGTAACATATAATCATGAAAACCAAGGAACTTACAACCTCATCGATAATTTGAAGGAACTTTGAGTACGATGAATCATAGGCAAAGAATTCGTTAACAAACAGAATACCTATTGAAGATCAATGTACAACTGATTTTGGGTTTTGGTTTGATTTTATGCTTTTCTTGGAAAACAACTAATAAAGATCAATAAATAGAGACCAAAAAATGGTATTTACTTGGTTTTATGGATGATCTCGTGATCAATAGAAGCTTTCATTTGAGAGAACTCATATACATCATTATTTCAAATAAAACTGCAGAAATATGTAGTTGTAATGGCCTAATGTAAGTAATAGGCAATAAGAAGTACCTTTCCATGAGGACCATCCACAGACAGAAACAAGAGTCCAGCTGCAACTGTGAGTGTGAAAAAAGCATAAGCCAGACAACATGTGTCAGAAGGTATACCAGTGATCTGCTTATATACTGAACAACAGCCACTATAAAAAGCTTCAATGTTTTGAAAGGTTGTGCTATTAATGTCATATTCTCGAGTTCTTGTTTATGCTTCTCACGCAGTCCTACAATTACAAACAAGAAAACCGATTAGCCAGGGAAACAAGGCATTCACTCACCATTACAAAAATATAAACCCAAAATTGGAAAAAAAATCCAAATGGTAAAATGAGAACTTCCATAATTAAGGCTGTGTTTGTTACATGAGACAAAAAAGATTACAATTTTATCCAATTGACATCAGTCCACTCAATGCACACTAGACACAGAGCAATGCCATTGTGTTGTGTCATGTCTTATGTATATAGACATAGACTATAGAGAGATGATAAAATTTTTCATAAGAAAAGAGTGAGGTGATCTTATTAGATCAATTATACACACACACACACACACACACACAGAGATACAGGAATAAACACAACCATGGTTCCATTGTGTTAGTTTGATATTATTACATTGTCATATTAGCTTCATGTAAACTCGAGTAACCTAGAGCAAGTTATCCAACAAACTCATTTCACATCTTCAATGACATTTAATCAATATTGTTTCGATTTACCAAATTAAGTAGGTAAAACTTTCTTAGTCTGAAAAAAGAAACAATACAAAACCTCAACGGAAATAGAGTAAGTAAAGAAGACTAAAAAAACCCTTGCGAAAGTGCAACAGACAAAAGATATGAATCAAATAAAATAAGCCAATAAGGCATGGAGAAAGGGATATAATATGTCCCTTGATTTTATAAGGTTAAGAAGAGAGCAAGAATGGTAGCAAGAATCAGCTTGTCACAAAGTCAAATCAATTAACCAATGAAAAAGGATAATAGTTTAATCTATTAGACAACCAGATCAAAAAAGTTGTGGATCTGGACAGATTGAGCCACCCTAGTTATGTCCATGGATTACAGCCAACAACATCAAATGTTAGAAGATCTGATTTAAACAATCCCGGCATTCAAAAATCAAAAGAGGTACCTGAGATCGGCATCTCGAAAGCCTGAGAAGACAACAAGATTTATGAGTATGATTGAAGTTCTTCTGCACTCACATGCTAAAACGAAAATACATCTTTTGAATCAGTTTAAATTCTTGATAAAATCTCAAATCAGTGACAATCGGGATGAATACAAGGCCTAGAAAATCTGATAAACTCACTATTGAAACGGAGCAGGCTAAGATCAGTAACAACGCGAAAGCAGATCTTTGTTGTTGTTACGGGAAGAGGACTCCAGGAAGATATGAGATTCGCAGCATTCACTGATTGTGCGCTGTCTCTCTATGGATATGATTTGTGCTCGCTGTTGCTTGCTTTTCTTGGTCTCGAGTTAGATGTTAAATCAGACAATCCAGCCAACATTGGGACAAAAAATAAAAAGTGTAGAAAATCTTACATACATCTGGTTGGGATCGAAGATGGATTTAGTTATTTCTCCGTTTCTTTTTCCTTATTCTCTATACATTGTTCTTTTCTTTTCTCCCTTTTTCCATCTGAGAGTTTCTTAAAATTTTAGGGCTTCTGCACTTGGAGTTTGATGAAATTTGTTAATCAGTCACACAAACACACCCTGATTTCTCCATTACCGAACAATCACCAACAATCATCTCCTCACAACCCCTTGACAACCTTCGAACGCCACCTCACACCCTCACCTGCAAATCGAAAAAAAAATAATAAGAAGGGTTGTGATCGAACCAGAGGAAGAAAAGGGGAAGAAAGAGGAAGAAAAGGCACATCTTTTCTTTTTTCTTTTCGCTCTCAAACTCTAGCTGTAAATAGGAAAGCACGAGAGATGTTGGGAGAATAGATGCAAGAGAGACAGAGATATCCATTTAGGTACGGTTGAGAGGTGAGAACATATAATCATTTGAAGAAGAAGGAATTTGGATGGGTGAGGGTGGGGATAAGGAAAACCTGTTTCCTGTGAGATCCAGCGCACAAAAGCCCTAGTTCTTCCAATCTTGGGATGGCGTGTATTTAATGTCTCAGAGGGAGAAAATGGTAGATAAAAGAGGATAGTTGACATTGTTGACCACTATATCGCTGCCAAACACCAAAAATACGAAAAAGAGGAAGAGTTATAGCCGCATAATGAGGTCTAGGGTTTACAGAGAAAAGGAGAAGCAGAGAGTGAAGGTTTTCAGTTGATGGAGAGGATGAATTCGTTATTCCTTCCCGAACAGCAACAAATTGATCATAGAACGAAACCTACAAATGAGGTCTAGGGTTTACATGGAAACCCTAAAAGATGGAAGAAAAGCGGGGTTTTTAATTTTTTAGGATTTCATTTCCCCTGTTATTAAAGGATGGAACGCGCGTTCCATTAAAATTTATAAAGCGACATCCTTAGATGACACACATGTACCCTCCGTGTTTTTTTTTTTTTTTTTTTTTTTTTTTTTTTAGTTTAGACACTAATTTAAGGGCACACAATAATGCATGACCTAAATCCTTAAATTTTTTGAAGAGATGACTCTTTTTTAATGTCACTCTCTTTTGCGTAACATAAATCAATGAGTGTCGTGGTTTGCGCGTCGTAAAAGGCTGTTTTTCTAGTAGTGTTCCTTCCCTTTTCTTGATCCTGGTAAATATCAAAATGCAACCGAGTCACATTGTGTATTAAGAATCATCAACTGGGAACTTAACAGAGTTAGATAGTCGACTTACCTGAAGCACAGTCAAACTTTTTGATTTTTCTTTCTTTCACGTAGCTAGGGCAGCTTCGCTTCCAATGTGCCTTTCTTTTTGCAATAGAAACATATGGATTCTTTTGTAATGGTACATGGGACTATCTCAGACTTAGCCTTTCTCTTTACCATTTGGTCAAGCGAGTTGACTATGGCTGATCCCTTTCCATTTGGAAGAGAAAGCTTTTCCAGATTTCCAATGTTACAATTTTCAATGTCCATAGAAGTTTGGGAAGTTAATCTTCTAATCAAATTTGCTTTACTAGTAATCCAAATCATTGCTGATTTAGAAGCACCAAGAAAATAGATAAGATCATTAAGGGTCATGTCATAGTCTATTCCTTAGTAATCCCAAAAGAACTCACTATGTAACATTGAAAGTGATTGAACATCCAACTTTCTCAAGACTTTGACACCCAAATCTCCCGGCTTGTCAATATGTGACTTCATCTCCAAGATGTGATCACACATTGACCTTGCTTGCCAATAGGGCTTGAGTGACCTTGAACTATTCAAGAACTTGTGGGTTAGGAAGAATTAATTGGAGGAGGTGGAGGAACTGAAGAATGATTTCCATGAGCCAAACTTAGGATGTCATCTTCATTAGGAAAGCTTGTTCCAAAGGATTTGGGAATGATCATATATGTCTAAACCAAACATCTAATGGGAGAAATTCAAGTTTGTTGATTTAAGTCCTTAATATAACACCCAATATGAAATATTAAGGCTAGGACCCAATACAATCTTTTATAACTTGGAAGAGGGATGCCATAATCCAAGCTATAAAATATTTGAAGGTAGGAGAATGACGATTCACCAATTTCCACCATGAAAAAAGAAATAATTTATTAGGTTTTAATTGGATTCGAAACTCCAAGATCTTTTGAGATTCATTGAACTTTTCAATGCCATGTTTTAATCTCGATTGTGCCCTCTCAAGTTTTGTGATTGGGATGTAGAGGATCACAATACAAAGGTGTGAATAACCATGCAAATATACTTGGTACCCTTAATATTTACCCCTTAATCGATATGACGAATAACCACACACACTCCACTGATACTATGATAAAAATTAAGTTACCCTTTGCCTACCTTGTTAAATCAAGCTAGTGTGCCGGTTACCCACACGCGCTCGACTAACTAACTTAAGCAAAGTACAAAGTGTAATTTCATGGGTTAGCACCAAATTCACATTTTCCTAATTAACTAAGATTGGGAATTCATAAGTGTTTAGTTACTTAGTATTTATCATTAATACTTTTAATGAAGGGAGAATTTTATTCCTTTTCCTACCTGTTCGGCTAACGACCCTCCACCAGTCAAGGAAGCGTGGGTAAGAGTGGATACCCACTAAACTGCAATTTTATAGGTACTAACGGTAAGACTGACTTGCTCTTATATATATATATATATATATATTATAAATATATATATATATATATATACATATATATATATATATACATATATATACATATATATATATATATATATATATATATATATATATATATATAGTATAAGGGTTGAGTTTTAACTCTTAAAATTCTAAAGGCTTAACTTGGAATTAAAGTATTCATGAGGGAAACTGTACAAATTACAAAACTTGAGGGAAAGTTTTGAACAATTCAAAAACTATTCAATTCCATAACTTATGAGTTTAAAGTAGTTTTAATTAGAAAAAAAAAAAAAGAAACTCTCCACGTTCCATAACTTAAGGACAAGTTATGGAAGACTTTAAACCATTAAAAGAATCTGACTCTTCCTTATTCATAACTTATGGAAATCTTTATGAGTTTTAAAAATCTTAAATGTGACTTTTCATTTAACTTTAGGACAAGTTACAAAAACACATTTTATGATCAACTCTTAGATTAATTTGGATTGAAAATAAATTATCACATAACTTTTGTATTATTCTAAGCAACTCATAACAACAAGATAATTCAAATCAAACTTTTTCATGAAACTAGCCTAACCATTAAACTAATACAAAACATGAATCTATTGAAAATTATCTTTGAAATTGGATTAGCATGAACATTACCACATCAAAAATAGGTTTATAAGTTCAAAAACAGCTTAGGGTAATGTTCCTAGTTCAATTCCATCCAAAATAGTTTAAGATATGTTGTCTGGCGTCCAACTTGTCGAGTGCATAAACCAACTCGACGAGTTGGATGACCATACTCTTGGACTCATCGAGTCCCTTCATGGACTCGGCAAGTCTGCTATGCAGACAGCAACAAACTTCAAATTTTCAGCTACTTTAGCAAGTATAACAATAAAACAAGCGTAGGCTCAGATACCAATGTTGGGTTTTGAGCATTATAACACACCTAAGTGTACATGAAACCCTAAATACCTTGGATCTATGTTTTCTCTATTATACATGCAAATATGAACATTCCAATGTATTATCCTAGGTAGCATAGAAAACATTAATTCATATGGAATAATATAAGTTCGAAGACATACTTTTTGATGTAGCTTGATCCCATGGATATTAAGAGCCTAGTGCCCCAAGTGTGACACCTCAAATGACTCACACAACTCCAAATACACTTAGAATAAGTTGAGAGAAATGAGACACTTCATCAAATCAGCTAACCATCACCATTCCTTCATAGTGGCCGATTTTTGGGAAGAATAAGATGCTTATATAGTGTGTCACAATTAGGGTTACACCATGTAAACCCTAATTGTCATGGCCTTTCATTTCCATGATCAATGGGTACAAAAATACCTACGGCATCCATGGAGCATCCTATAGGTTCTATCCCAACTTGATAATCCATGGAGCATTAGCCCACTATACAAGTATGGGTGATTTACACAATCAACCCATATATTTAATTAGTCACCTTTCGATCACTTAATTAATTCTTGATCAATACTAATTAAATAATCATATTAATATATTAGAACTTTTAATAAATTAATAAACCTTATGTGTTATTTCTCTAATTTTAGCATATCCAAATGCATGATGCCATGCAACCCAAATGGACCATGCCAATCAGGTCAAGTACATACCAAACATAGTTATGGATTTAGACACTATCCAAGACATAATGCATTCAAATCATAGAACTAGCCTCCTAGGGCCCCTTTTATATGTAAAGTTGCAAAAATTATGTTAATGCATTGGCAATTTACCTCAAAAGGCCTTAAAATGGAGTCTTCAAGATGTATGGGATCTTATGGCAGTAAATTTGGTATCTTTATACCATGAGAGCTCCCTCTGATCCTGATTTGAAACTATTTCTCCATATAATGCCCCAAACCCAAAGGTGACTTAAAATTTCCCCAAAATGACAAGATTCAAGCCCTAAGGAGGATCTATCAAATGGAAAACCAAGGTTGAAGCTTTTTACCTTAAATGAACTAGAAATGGAACACAACCTCTAGATCTACTAGCTTCAAATCGATCTCTCATGCTCCTTCCT